GTATAGTGCAGTGTATAGTGGTGTAGTGTATAGTGTCATGTATAGTGGTGGTGTATAGTAGTGTATAGTGCAGTGTATAGTGGTGTAGTGTATAGTGTCGTGAATAGTGGTGGTGCATAGTAGTGTATAGTGCAGTGTATAGTGGTGTAGTGTATAGTGTCGTCTATCGTGGTGGTGTAGTGTATAGTGCAGTGTATAGTGGTGTATAGGTGTCGTGTATAGTGGTGGTGTATAGTAGTGTATCGTGTAATGTATAGTGGTGTAGTGTATAGTAGTGTATAGTGTCGTGTATAGTGGTGGTGTATAGTAGTGTATAGTGCAGTGTATAGTAGTGTATAGTGGTGTAGTGTATAGTAGTGTATAGTGGTGGTGTATAGTAGTGTATAGTGCAGTGTATAGTGGTGTAGTGTATAGTGCAGTGTATAGTGGTGTAGTGTATAGTGGTGGTGTATAGTAGTGTATCGTGTAATGTATAGTGGTGGTGTATAGTAGTGTATCGTGTAATGTATAGTGGTGGTGTATAGTTGTGTATAGTGCAGTGTATAGTGGTGTAGTGTATAGTAGTGTATAGTGGTGGTGTATAGAAGTGTATCGTGTAATGTATAGTGGTGGTGTATAGTAGTGTATAGTGGTGGTGTATAATAGTGTATAGTGCAGTGTATAGTGGTGTAAAGTGTCGTGTATAGTGGTGGTGTATAGTAGTGTATAGTGGTGGTGTATAATAGTGTATAGTGCAGTGTATAGTGGTGTATAGTGTCGTGTATAGTGGTGGTGTATAATAGTGTATATTGCAGTGTATAATGGTGTATTGTATAGTGTCATGTATAGTAGTGTATATTGCAGTGTATAGTGGTGTAGTGTAAAGTGTCGTGTATAGTGATGGTGTATAGTAGTGTATAGTGCAGTGTATAGTGCAGTGTATAGTGGTGTAGTGCAGGGGTGTCCAAACTACGGCTCGCGGGCCAACTGCGGCCCGCGATCCAGTTTTTATTGGCCCGCAGCAAATTCTGAAAATATAATTGAATATGGCCCGCACAAGAAGTTTGAGCTGAACTCTGTTGCACTTCTCAGTTTCAACACTAGATGGAGCCAGCCACGGAAAACCGTGCTTCTCCACTAAACAAAATTAAGCAAAGAAAAACTTTTACCGCGAGTCACCAGAAATGGCAGCACCGAAGAAACGCAAAATAGCAAGTGAGTGTAGAAGATTTCAAACACGGTGGGAAAATGAATATTTTTTCAAAGAAATCAACGGAAAGTGTGTCTGTTTGATTTACAATGAAGATGTTGCTGTGATGAAAGAGTATAATGTCCGTCGGCACTATGAGACCAAACATCAGAGCTACACATCGTACACCGGTGCCGAACGAACACAGAAAGTCAAGCAAATGGCGGCTAGCCTGCAAGCTCAACAATTTTTTTCGTGCTAACAAAATACAGGAAAACACCACAACAGCAAGCTATGAAGTCACTAAACGTATTGCCCAGCACGGCAAACCGTTCTCAGACGGTGATTTCATAAAGCAGTGCCTCATCAAAGTCATAAAAATAATGTGCCCGGAAAAAGTGCAGGATTTCAACAGCGTGAGCTTATCCAGAAATATAGTGGTGCGGAGGATCGAGGACTTGTCAGCTAACTTGAAACTTCAGCTGAGAGACAAAGCTTGTGCTTTTGATTTTTACTCGATAGCATGCGACGAGAGCACAGATGCCGTAGACACCGCGCAGCTGTTAATTTTTTTGCGGGGAGTAGGTGATCATTTTTGCTGTACGGAGGAACTGCTTGATATGATGAGCCTAAAAGGCACAACGACAGGTATAGATATTTTTGAAGCTGTGTCAGGGACAAGCTCTGTGGAGTAACAACGGATGGAGCTCCGGCCATGACGGGCGAGCGCAAAGGAATGGCATCGATGGTGTGCTCCAAGGTAAAAGGGAGCGGAGGTGAGGCTGTTAGGATGCACTGTATAATCCACAAAGAAGCACTGTGTGCCAAGACTGTCCAGCTGGGCGATTTGATGAACACTGTTGTAAAAACTGTCAACATAATTCGAGCTAGAGGACTGTACCACAGAGAATTTCAAGCTTTCCTATCTGATGTGGATGCTGAATACGGGGATGTACTCTACCACTCTGATGTGCGCTGGCTCAGCCGCGGCACTGTGCTGCAGCGGTTTTATTCGCTGAGATCAGAAATCGACCAGTTTTTGAAAGAGAAGGGCCGACCTCTTCATGAACTGAGTGACCCTCTGTGGCTGGCAGACCTGGCATTTTTAGTTGATCTTACTCATCATCTGAATACACTGAACAAGAACCTACAAGGCAAAGAACAGCTGGTACCACACCTGTATGCGCACATGAAAGCCTTCCGTGTAAAGCTCCGCCTGTTTGAGACAAAACTACGAAGCTTTAATGCTGCACACTTCCCTGCGCTGTCTGAAATCAAGTCTGCTTTTCCAAAGGCCGACCTTTCTGCTAAAAAGGAGAAATATGTGTCTGTGATTGTATCTCTCGTGACAGAATTCAACCAGCGTTTCCAATATTTTTCTGTCATTGAAAAATAAATCAAGCTGTTCTCGACCCCCTTCCTGGTGGATGCAGAAGAAGTGGAAGAGTGTCTGCAATTAGAACTGATTGAAATGCAATGTGATGATTCTCTGAAGAGTCAACATCAGCTTCTCTCCCTCCCTGACTTCTATCAGAGTTTGGATAATGCCAAGTTTCCTCTGATGAGACGCCACGCAAAAAGAATGATGAGCCTGTTCGGCTCAACATACATATGTGAACAAACATTTTCTCTGTTAAATCAGAACAAAAGCAGACTGAGAACCAGAATGACTGATAGCCATCTCTGTGAAGTCGTTCGTGTCTCAACCACCAAACTTTCTCCTGACATGTCAGCCATCCTTCAATCCAAAGGACAACATCACTGCTCCCACTGAGTGCAATGTTCTTCACATTATAGGTGAGTTAGAAATACACACAGTATTCATGTGTCAATATGTCACCTCTAGTGTGTGGCCCGGCCTTTTGTTTATTTTTCTGTATTTGGCCCTCACTAAAAAAACTTTGGACACCCCTGGTGTAGTGTATAGTAGTGTATAGTGGTGGTGTATAGTAGTGTATCGTGTAATGTATAGTGGTGGTGTATAGTAGTGTATAGTGCAGTGTATAGTGGTGGTGTATAGTAGTGTATAGTGGTGGTGCATAGTAGTGTATCGTGTAATGTATAGTGGTGTAGTGTATAGTAGTGTATAGTGGTGGTGTATAGTAGTGTATCGTGTAATGTATAGTGGTGGTGTATAGTTGTGTATAGTGCAGTGTATAGTGGTGGTGTATAGTAGTGTATAGTGGTGGTATATAGTAGTGTATCGTGTAATGTATAGTGGTGGTGTATAGTTGTGTATAGTGCAGTGTATAGTGGTGGTGTATAGTAGTGTATAGTGGTGGTGTATAGTAGTGTATCGTGTAATGTATAGTGGTGGTGTATAGTTGTGTATAGTGCAGTGTATAGTGCTGTAGTGTATAGTGCTGTGTATAGTGGCAGTGGATAATAGTGTATAGTGCAGTGTGTAGTGTAGTATACAGCGTGGTGTATAGGGTGAACTTTGAGATTTATAAGGGGCACGGGATGACCAATAAGTTCTGAATAGGTCTGTAATAAGGCAGGGCACTGATAAGGGGCTCACAGCTATGCGTTTCTTCACTGTGCTTTAAGTCACTTTATTTTTTATACTGTACAGCATAAAATTTTAATATTACGTTCAATATAAATTGCCTTCGTTGACAATATGAAGAGTAAGTTATGAAGTGTTCATAGTGTGAAATGGTAAGTCACGAAGGCCGGGAACGCATCCCCATGGCACCAATGTTGTAAGTGATTCACTATACGACGTTTCAATATACGAGCAAGCTCCAGGAACGGGTCTCCTTCGTATACCGCAGTATCACTGTGCGCGCTGCGAGCTTATTTCTACCCCAAATTCACGACACAGTACGTGGTTTGAGTTCACTCGTGTGTGGCCACGTGGTCAAACGTGGGGCTACTGTACTGTGCACTGTACGTACTGTATTCGTGTGATGTACCGCGCGTACTGTATTGTGCGCACTGTATGTACTGTGTTGTGTGCACTGTGCACTGTATTGTGTGTACTGTGCACTGTATGTACTGTATTGTGTGCTGTACCGTGTGTACTGTATTGTGTGTGCTGTACCGTGTGTACTGTGTTGTGTGTGCTATACCGTGTGTACTGTGTTGTGTGTGCTGTACCGTGTGTACTGTATTGTGTGTGCTGTACCGTGTGTACTGTATTGTGTGTGCTGTACCGTGTGTACTGTGTTGTGTGTACTGTACCGTGTGTACTGTTGTGTGTACTGTACCGTGTGTACTGTATTGTGTGTGCTGTACCGTGTGTACTGTGTTGTGTGTACTGTATCGTGTGTACTGTATTGTGTGTACTGTGTGCGTAAAGGCAGCGGTGGTGTAGCGGTTAAGGCTGCGCTACGAACCCGACCACCCGAGTTTTGATTCCCTCTCACGGCCACCAACACCCAGTACACAGACACACACATGTATACACACTTGCACATATACACACATATACACTGATACGTAGACGAAGACAAAGATCCCCCCGTTTAGCCTGTAACAGAATGTTGGGGCAAGTGCTGTGAGTAGCGAGCAGCACCTATGAAGGCTATCGGCGCTGTGGCACACGAGGGGGTGGGTGGCTACCAGCACCACGCCCGGTCGCCTTTGTCTCTCCCCCCGTAGCGATGTTTAACCTCACACCGCAACACCAGGTACTCGTTTGAGGCTGAGTCGACCTAGGGGAGGCACGGGACCGGCTCAGATAATTGTTGCCGATGTTGGTGACCGCGAGCGGGAATCGAACCCAGGTGGTCGGGTTCGTAGTGCAGTGCGCTAACCGCTCCCCACACACACACGTGTACGCGCACGCGGACGCATGCACGCACGAGTGTGTGGAAGCTAAGCGATCTTCACTTCACACATTGCACATTTATTCACACAAACACTGCACCTCAGCCAACTTTCCATTGGTCCCCGTGTCTCCATGTGTTTCTCTGTGACCCCGTGTCTCAACGAGACCTAGTGTGTCTCCACGTGACCCCGTAATGGTGTCTCTGTGTGACCTAGTGTGTCGCCATGTGTCTCAGCATTTCCCAATGTTTTTCCGTGTCCCCCTGTGTATACAGTGTCCCCCGTGTGTATCCATGTGTCTGTGTGTCTCCAAGTGCGTCTCTGTGGTTTCACGTGCTTGTGTCTCTGTGTCCCCATGCCTTCCCAAGTCTCCATTCATCCCCGTGTATCTCTGCACTCTTATTACTCTGAGCAGTCTCCCTGTCTCGCCATGTTACCGTGAGCCTCTCTGTCCCTGTGTCTCACTGCGTCTTTCCGTATGTTTCTGTGTCCACTTTTAGGTCCCCGTGTGTGTTCCATCTCCCCGCGTTTCTCCGTATCCCTGTCCACGCATCCCTATGTTCCTGTGCGCATCTATGCCCCATGGAGTGTGTGTCTGCCCGTGTCTCTGTGTGTCTAGGTGCGGACTTGGAAGCGCCCAGCCTTGGTGAGATACTTCACCCCTTTGAACGGCTTGTACTTCTCCCCATAGAGGTCCAGACGGTTCACTTTCAACCCTGCGGCGACAACAACAGCAGCAGCTGTCAGTCACCACTATGCGGCGGTGACGTCACCACCACGGCGCTTGTGCCAGGCTAGATGCACTTTTAGGCGTTCACATGAAGTGTGCGAGGCTTTCCGCTGACAGGTCACAGGACAGACCCAGCAGGTGCCATGGGTTGACTTACTGAAAGTGGACCGGTCGATGCACCACCACCAACCTGTGCCCCCTACTGTGCCACCTCGCGGTGTTTTAGCCACCCGGAACTCCACTCAGTGTTGTGGGCGTTGCTCCTCTGCCCTCCGTTGTTTCTGGATGGTGACTGCCTCCAACTGCCCAGTAGCAGCAGCGTCCTTCACGAGCCTCCTCCTCCATAGAGGCCGATCTTGACACCGCTGGTACCGGTCATCGGCGAGTCCACTCAGCTCCACATCCTCCCGTAACAGCATCAGCTCCACCTCTCCCCTAGTTCTTGCCATGCTTCGTTTAGCTCCCTCTATCCGGCCAAACTGAAGCTGATTGGGCAAGCAGTGGCTAGGCATGCGGGCTACGCGACCCAGCCAACGCAGCCTTGCCTGCCGGAGGAGCTCACCGATGGGACTGTGGTCAGACCTTTCTCTACGGGTTTCCGTGGGTCCTCAGTCACCCCCCTTCCTGCTCCCCGCGTACCTGAAATGGCGAACTGCTGGATCTTGAAGTGGACGTTGATGACGGGGTTCTCCTCGGGCTTGGGTGCCCCGGACTGCAGTGTCAGAGAGCCCTTGATGGTCGGCAGCTTCTGGGGATTAATCTTCCCAATGTCCCACGTGAGGACCTGGAGCACGACCACGGGGAGGAAGGAGGGTGGACACCGCACGGGGTGGGTAGAGGGAGGATAGGGGGAGGGAGGGAGGTAGGGGGAATGAGGAAGGACACGGGGAGGAAGGAGAGAGGAGGTGGAGGGAGACACGCGGAGGGGGAGGAGGAGAGACACACGGAGAGGAGGAGGAAGGTAGATGAGGAGGGAGATAGGAGGATGACAGAGACATGGTGAGGAGGGGAGGGAGAGAGGGAGGGAAGGCATGGGAATCCGGAGGGTAGGAGGAGGGACAGACACTTTAACACCACAGACCACGTGAATCCGCTGTCTCCATGTCCCCTCGTTCCACCTCTGCGTCGCCCCACGTCCGATGGTAACGCATGGACCGTGTCTCCCTCCCTGTGTCCATCCGTCGGTCTCTCCCCTCTCTCTCCCTGTATCCCCTTTCTCACTCTACCCCCGTACCTCCCCTCTCTCTCCTCTCTCTCCCCCATACTCCCCCACCCCCCCCCCCCATCTCGCTCTATCTCTCTATCTCCCCCTCTCTCCCTCTCTCCTTGTACCTCCTCCCTCCCTCTACCCTCCCTCTACCCTCCCTCTACCCTCCCTCTACCCTCCCTCTACCCTCCCTCTACCCCCCCCCCTCCCCCCGCCGTCTCTCCCCCAGTCACCTTGGAGACGGGGTCGAAGGCGTGGGCCCCCTGCGTTGCCGTGAGCGCCACGGCGAGCACGGGGGGCGGCAGCGTCGCCGTGACGACGACGGCCTCCAGCGTTTTCCCCCCGCTGTGCCGAGGCCCCAGCGTCAGCTCAAGACGCCCGCAGCCGCCACCGCCCTCACGGAACGACACCGAGTGACGCACGCACACGGGGACGGACGCCAGGCTGGGGTAGAAAGACAGAGACACACGGACACCAGGCTGTGTGTGTGTCTCTCCGTGTGTGTCTCTCCGTGTGTGTGTCTCTCTCCGTGTGTCTCTCTCCGTGTGTCTCTCCGTGCGTCTCTCCGTGTGTCTCTCTCCGTGTGTCTCTCCGTGCGTCTCTCCGTGTGTCTCTCTCCGTGTGTCTCTCTCCGTGTGTCTCTCTCCGTGCGTCTCTCCGTGCGTCTCTCTCCGTGTGTCTCTCCATGTGTCTCTCTCCGTGTGTCTCTCCGTGTGTCTCTCTCCGTGTGTCTATCCGTGCGTCTCTCCGTGCGTCTCTCCGTGTGTCTCTCTCCGTGTGTCTCTCTGTGCGTCTCTCTGTGCGTCTCTCTGTGCGTCTCTCTGTGCGTCTCTCCGTGTGTCTCTCCGTGTCTCTCCGTGTGTCTCTCTCCGTGTGTCTCTCCGTGTGTCTCTCTGTCTCCGTGTGTCTCTCTCCGTGTGTCTCTCCGTGCGTCTCTCCGTGTGTCTCTCCGTGTGTCTCTCCGTGCGTCTCTCCGTGCGTCTCTCTGCGTGCGTCTCTCTGTGTGTCTCTCCGTGTGTCTCTCCGTGTGTCTCTCTCCGTGTGTCTCTCTCCGTGTGTCTCTCTCCGTGTGTCTCTCTCCGTGTGTCTCTCTCCGTGTGTCTCTCTCCGTGTGTCTCTCTCCGTGTGTCTCTCCCCGTGTGTTTCTCTCCGTGCGTCTCTCGGTGCGTCTCTCCATGTGTCTCTCCGTGTGTCTCTCCGTCTCTCCGCGTGTCTCTCTGCGTGTGTCTCCGTGTCACCTCTGTGAGGAGACGTGATAGGAGATGAGCCGGAAGTTCCCGTCGGGAGGGATGAAGGAGAGAACGCGCTCCGACTCCCAGCGCTTGAAGCGCACGCACGGGTGGAAACTCACATCGTCCAGCAGACGCGGGTTCTGCACGCGGAGAGACCGAGACACGTGGGAGGAGACACACGGGGAGAGAGAGACACACAGGGAGACAGACAGAGACACGGAGAGAGACAGAGAGACATGGGGAGAGAGAGAGAGACATGGTGAGAGAGAGAAATGATGAGAGACACAGGGAGAGAGATGGGAAGAGAGAGAGACATGGGGTGAGAGACATGCGGAGAGACACGGGGAGAGATAGAGACATGGTGAGAGAGAGAAATGATGAGAGAGACACACAGGGAGAGAGAGAGAGATGGGAAGAGAGAGAGACATGGTGTGAGAGACACGGAGAGAGAGAAACACACGGGGAGACAGACAGAGACACGGAGAGAGACAGAGAGACATGGGGAGAGAGAGAGAGAGACATGGTGAGAGAGAGAGGAATGATGAGAGAGACAGACAGGGAGAGAGAGATGGGAAGAGAGAGAGACATGGGGTGAGAGACATGGGGAGAGAGAGACACGGGGAGAGAGAGAGACACGGAGAGAGATAGAGAGACATGGGAAGAGAGAGAGAGACATGGTGAGAGAGAGAAATGATGAGAGACACACACAGTGAGAGAGATGGGGTGAGAGACATGGGGAGAGAGAGACACGGGGAGACAGTACAAGTGTGTATATGCAAATGCGAGTGTGTGTATCTGTCAGTGTATATGTAGGGGAACGGTGGCGCAGTGGTTAGCACTACACTGCGCTACGAACCCAGCGACCCGAGTTTGATTCCAGCTCACGACCACGGCCGGTGACGTTTATCTGAACCGGTCATGGACCTCCCCAAGGTCGACTCAGCCTCAAATGAGTACCTAGTGTAGCGGTGGTGTGGAGTAAACATCGCCACTGGTGAGACAAAGGCGTGGTGCTGGCCACCCACCCCCTCGTGTACCGTTCCGGCCTTCATAGGTGCTCGCTAACAGCACTTGCCCCAAAAGTCTGCTCAGGCTATACAGGGGATCTTTGTCTTTATGTATATGTATAGGTGTTTATGTGTGTGTGTAAGTTGGTGCAGTAGGAGGCACAGGTGGTGCATCGGCCAGTCATCTCAGTCAGTTGACCCGTGGCACCTGGGTCTGTCCCGTAACCTCCTGCGAGCGGACGTTCGACACTTCACGTGGCCTCAACATGCACATAGCCTGGCACGAGCGTCGTGGTGACGTCACCTTAGTGGCGAATGGCGGTTGTTGTTTTTGTATATGTGTGTATATGTATGCGTATGTATATGTGTATGTGCGTGCGTCACCATGAAGGAGAGTGTGAGGTCAGGCATCCCCGTTAGCTTCACACAAGCGTCAATCACGCCCTGAATCTCAGCCGTCACCGTGGAGCCTGAGACACACGCGGAGACACACAGACACGGACACGGACACACAGGCACGCACGGAGACACACAAAGTGCCTCTCTCTCTCTCCCTTTCTCTTTCTCTGTCCGCCCTCTCCCTCTTCCCCTGCCTCCCCCTCTGTGTGTCTGTGTGTCTATTGGTGAGTGGGCGAACGTATTGCTGACTCTCTCAACTTTCTCTCTCCCCATCTCTCTCTCTCTCTCACTCATCCTCTCCCCCTCTGTGTCTCTGTGTGTGTCTCTTGATGAGTGTGTGAACATATTGCTACCACTCTCCCTCTCCCCTCTCTCTCTAACTTCTTCCGTGCCCATACAAAGACGGTGCAGTTTACAAGACCCGGAAGAAGATGCCGCAAAAATGACAATGACGGATAGAGCACGCCGCGCACCACTCACACGCCGGTGATGCGCACCACTCACACGCCGGTGATTCGCACCACTCACACGCCGGTGATGCGCACCACTCACACGCCGGTGATTCGCACCACTCACACGCCGGTGACGCGTACCACTCACACGCCGGTGACGCGCACCACTCACACGCCGGTGATTCGCACCACTCACACGCCGGTGATTCGCACCACTCACACGCCGGTGATGCGTACCACTCACACGCCGGTGATTCGCACCACTCACACGCCGGTGACGCGCATCACTCACACGCCGGTGATTCGCACCACTCACACGCCGGTGATTCGCACCACTCACACGCCGGTGATGCGTACCACTCACACGCCGGTGACGTGCACCACTCACACGCCGGTAACGCGCACGACTCATACGCCGGTGATGCGCACCACTCACACGCCGGTGACGCGCACCACTCACACGCCGGTGACGCGCACGACTCAGACGCCGGTGACGTGCACCACTCACACGCCGGTGACGCGCACCACTCACACGCCGGTGACGCGCACCACTCACACGCCGGTGACGCGCACCACTCACACGCCGGTGATTCGCACCACTCACACGCCGGTGACGCGCACCACTCACACGCCGGTAACGCGCACGACTCATACGCCGGTGATGCGCACCACTCACACGCCGGTGATGCGCACCACTCACACGCCGGTGACGTGCACCACTCACACGCCGGTGATTCGCACCACTCACACGCCGGTGATTCGCACCACTCACACGCCGGTGATGCGTACCACTCACACGCCGGTGACGTGCACCACTCACACGCCGGTAACGCGCACGACTCATACGCCGGTGATGCGCACCACTCACACGCCGGTGACGCGCACCACTCACACGCCGGTGACGCGCACGACTCATACGCCGGTGACGTGCACCACTCACACGCCGGTGACGCGCACCACTCACACGCCGGTGACGCGCACCACTCACACGCCGGTGACGCGCACCACTCACACGCCGGTGATTCGCACCACTCACACGCCGGTGACGTGCACCACTCACACGCCGGTAACGCGCACGACTCATACGCCGGTGATGCGCACCACTCACACGCCGGTGACGTGCACCACTCACACGCCGGTGATTCGCACCACTCACACGCCGGTGACGCGCACCACTCACACGCCGGTGATTCGCACCACTCACACGCCGGTGATGCGCACCACTCACACGCCGGTGACGTGCACCACTCACACGCCGGTGATTCGCACCACTCACACGCCGGTGACGCGCACCACTCACACGCCGGTGACGCGCACCACTCACACGCCGGTGATTCGCACCACTCACACGCCGGTGATTCGCACCACTCACACGCCGGTGATGCGTACCACTCACACGCCGGTGATTCGCACCACTCACACGCCGGTGACGCGCACCACTCACACGCCGGTGACGCGCACCACTCACACGCCGGTGACGTGCACCACTCACACGCCGGTAACGCGCACGACTCATACGCCGGTGATGCGCACCACTCACACGCCGGTGATGCGCACCACTCACACGCCGGTGACGCGCACCACTCACACGCCGGTGATGCGTACCACTCACACGCCGGTGACGCGCACGACTCATACGCCGGTGACGTGCACCACTCACACGCCGGTGATTCGCACCACTCACACGCCGGTGATTCGCACCACTCATACGCCGGTGACGCGCACCACTCACACGCCGGTGATTCGCACCACTCACACGCCGGTGATTCGCACCACTCATACGCCGGTGATTCGCACCACTCACACGCCGGTGATTCGCACCACTCACACGCCGGTGATTCGCACCGCGTCGTCTTCGAATGCTGGGAGGCCGGAAAAGCCCTCTGTACCAGCATGAACGGCACCACCCTCCTTTTCACCTCCTAATGTGCTCGCTCGTCAGGCGTGGCGTGCGCGACAACCACCACCACCACCACGTGACGTTTTTGTGTTGCGGCACGTGGCGCTAGACGCGCCACGTGCCGCAACACGTGGATTTTTATTGTGTTTGGTTATTTGTGTTGCTGGTGACTTTGTGTTTCATAGCGAAATCGGCTCCAGTGCTGTTGCTGCTGGCAGCAATAAAAGTGCTTTAAAAGTAACAAGTCTCTCACACTCTCTCTCGTCTCTCTCTCCCTCTATCCCACTCTCTCTCTCTCTCTCTGCCTCTCTCTCTCTCACCAGAGCGATCTATGATGGCATCCACCTCCTCTATCACGTCGAAGTACGCCTCGTTGTTGGTGTAGCGTACGCCGGTGCGTCTCCACGGCACGTTGGAGAGCTGCCCCGAGGGCAGAGTGTCTCCGACATTGGTGCTGCCTGCATGGGGGGAGGGCGGGAGAGAGAGAGAGATGGAGAGAGAGAGAGTTTAAAACCAATTTTATTTCTGCCAGCAGCGTAAGCACCGGAGCCGATTTCCATGCCATGTCACACATCAAGTGCAGCGTCACGTGTGGACATCACAACTACTACCCCGCTGCACATGGCACTGCACGTGCCACGCATAGAGAGAGAGAGGCGGGAGGGCGAGAGAGGAGACAGAGAGAGAAGTGAGAAGTGAGAGGAGAGAGAGAGAGAGAGAGACGCTACACATGGGAATAGAGGTGAGGATGAGAGACAAAGGGAGATAGGAGACAGGGGAGAGGGGAGAGAGAGAGAGAGAGAGACGGGGAGAGTCGCACAGAGACAGGAACACCATCACGCACAACACGAACACCGCGTCGTTACGCCACGCCATGCACGGACGAAATCGGCTCACTAAAAAAGGTAAAATTCGGAACAGCGTTCGCGCCGGTGCAGATGGGCTTGACTGGGCCCGCCCCCCGACCGCGCGCATCCCCAGCATTTGGAGTGCCACGGAGTGGTCCACTTGGAGCCGTGTCTTGAGCCAGGCCCCTCAGCATCGCCACCGCCAGAGTGGCCGTCAGTTGTCGCCTCGCGACGTCTTTCTCCTGGTCTCGTAAACTGCGTCATCTTTGCTTGGGCACGGATAGGCGTTTGCAAGATCGTGGCGGCCTATTAGCCAACTAAGGCACCCACCCCATAATTGAAACTGCTTTTGTTAAAAGGCACCCCCTCAGGTATCCTGATAATGGACCCCAAAAAGCCGGAACATAGGGGTTGACCCGCGGACACCCCAGGTACTGGTGGGGACAGATCCTCCCTGGCTCCGCAGGATGCACACAGAGACTGGTGGCCCCCTGAGGAGATTCGGCTGAGCCCCACGGCCGAGCGCACCCCGTGTCTCTCTCCCTCTCTCCCCGCGTGTGTTCTCTCTGCTGTGTCTCTCTATCTCTCTCTCTCACCGGTGATGGAGTTCACGACCGAGCGCAGGATGGTGGGAGGCTTGATGAGCTCCTTCAGGATGTTGGCCTCTGTTGCGAGGGGGAATCCGTTGTCCAGCATCTCCTCCAGCAGCTCGTAAACCACCACGCAGTTCTCCCTGATGGCTGCCTCCGTGCACTCCCCAAAGTAATCCTGACAAAGCCAGACGCGGAGAGCGAGTGAGGGAGAGAAATACGCACGTACACGAAAGGCTGCCACTCCTATGTCGGGAGCTGGACCGGTACCGCCTGGACGGCTGTGGAATACAGGAGGTCCGGTGGACTGGTTCTGGTGCGTTTGTGTGTGTGTAGTGGAGAGGCAGCCACTCCTCTGTCGGGAGTTGGACTGGTACCGCCCAAGCCGCCCCTCCAGAAGGCAAGGAGACTGTGTTCGCTGGGTCGTGTAGCCCGCATGCCCAGCCACAGCATACCCAAGCAGCTTCTGTTCAGCCGGATAGAGGGGGCTAAACGGCATCGGCATAAATTTTGATTTAAAGCTTTCGTGACTGCAGTAATTCATATTCTTAGCTCTTTCGGTAAAGTCACGTTGAAGGGAAACAGTAAAATAATAAAATATATATAAAAATACTAATTCTCATGACGTTTCGACCATAACACAAACGGTCATCATCAGGTGTGAAAAACCAACGGCAAGAAACATTTGAAAGAAGTGGCGGTTTGCATTTATTTATAAGCGGTGTTTGTATTTATTTATAAAAACCGTTAGCACCACGCGCAGCGATTTGGCAGTTTATTTAGAAGGACGAGTACATCTATGTTCTGAAAAGAAGAGGGGGGAGACGAAAAATTAATGTATGCTGTCTGAAAGCCACCGTAAGCGTGAACAATCAATTAAGACCTGAAATGGTTTATCAAATCCTTCCAATGATTGCTAAGCCAGAATCCATCTTCTCGGTTGAAATTGTCTCTGTGCTTGTATATGTGGATAGCATCGGCATAGGCTAGAGAAGAGATGGAGCCGATGCGGTACGGGAGGATGTGGAGCTGAGTGGACTTTGTAATGTCTGGTACCAGCGGTGTCAAGATCGGCCTCTCTAGAGGAGGCTCTTGAAGGACGCTACTGGGCAGTGCCACGCTAGGTGCACCTTGAAGCTACTGGGGAGTTGGAGGCAGTTGTCCTCCAGAAACAAGGGAGGGTGGAGGAGCGATGCTCACAACAACGAGGGTCGGGCCGGGCGGCTAAAACACAGCAAGTTGGCACACTAGGGGGTGCAGCATGGTGGTGCATCTACCGGTCATCTAAGTCGGCCAACCCATGGCACATGCTGGGTCTGTCCCAAGACTTCCCGTGGCCTCGACATGCACACAGCCTGGCACAAGCGCCGTGGTGACGTCACCACGACTTGTCTATGGTTCTGGGTGGCCCTATGGGTCTCTGTAGACGTGCGTACGTACGATGAACTACCATCGCACCATACATCGGCAATCAGAGGTGCGTGAGTGCACCTGCAGTGTGTGTGCGTGCGCATGTGCAGAAACGTGCACGTGTGCATGTGTGCACGTGTGTGCACGTGTGTGTGCACGTGTGTGTGCACGTGTGCGTGCACGTGTGTGCGCACGCGTGTGTGATCCTGCAGTGTGCGTCCACGTATACGCACACCTGGAGGCTGGGGGGGTCTTTGTCTTCTTGGTGCACTAGCAGCGTGTACGTGTGTGCGTGTACGTTGTGTACATGTGTACACGCGTACGAATGTGTGTCTGTGTGCAATTGCAGCGTCTGTGTGCGTGCGTGTCTGTGTGTGCGTGTCTGTGTGCGTGCGTGCACCTGCAGCGTGTCTCTGTGTGTGCCTGTGAGCGTGTCTGTGTGTGCGTGTCTGTGTGTGCCTGTGAGCGTGTCTGTGTGTGTGTGCGTGCACCTGCAGCGTGTCTCTGTGTGTGCGTGTGTGTGTGCGCGCATCTTGTGCGTGCGTGCCTGTTTGTGCGAGTGTCTGTGTGTGCGAGTGTCTGTGCGTGCGTGTCTGTGTGCGTGCACCTGCAGCGTGTCTGTGTGTGCATGTCTTTGTGTGTGAGTGTCTGTGTGTGTCTGTGTGTGTGTGCGTGCGTGCACCTGCAGCGTGTCTCTGTGTGTGCGTGTGTGTGTGCGCGCGTCTTGTGTGTGCGTGCCTGTTTGTGCGAGTGTCTGTGTGTGTCTGTGTGTGTGTGCGTGCGTGCACCTGCAGCGTGTCTCTGTGTGTGCGTGTGTGTGTGCGTGCGTATCTGTGCGTGCGTGCCTGTTTGTGCGAGTGTCTGTGTGTGTCTGTGTGTGTGTGCGTGCACCTGCAGCGTGTCTCTGTGTGTGCGTGTGTGTGTGCGCGCGTCTTGTGCGTGCGTGCCTGTTTGTGCGAGTGTCTGTGTGTGCGAGTGTCTGTGCGTGCGTGTCTGTGTGCGTGCACCTGCAGCGTGTCTGTGTGTGCATGTCTTTGTGTGTGAGTGTCTGTGCGTGCGTATCTGTGCGTGCGTGCCTGTTTGTGCGAGTGTCTGTGTGTGCGAGTGTCTGTGCGTGCGTGTCTGTGTGCGTGCACCTGCAGCGTGTCTGTGTGTGCATGTCTTTGTGTGTGAGTGTCTGTGTGTGTCTGTGTGTGTGTGCGTGCACCTGCAGCGTGTCTCTGTGTGTGCGTGTGTGTGTGCGCGCATCTTGTGCGTGCGTGCCTGTTTGTGCGAGTGTCTGTGTGTGTCTGTGTGTGTGTGCGTGCGCCTGCAGCGTGTCTCTGTGTGTGCGTGTGTGTGTGCGCGCATCTTGTGCGTGCGTGCCTGTTTGTGCGAGTGTCTGTGTGTGCGAGTGTCTGTGCGTGCGTGTCTGTGTGCGTGCACCTGCAGCGTGTCTGTGTGTGCATGTCTTTGTGTGTGAGTGTCTGTGCGTGCGTATCTGTGCGTGCGTGCCTGTTTGTGCGAGTGTCTGTGTGTGCGAGTGTCTGTGCGTGCGTGTCTGTGTGCGTGCACCTGCAGCGTGTCTGTGTGTGCATGTCTTTGTGTGTGAGTGTCTGTGTGTGTCTGTGTGTGTGTGCGTGCACCTGCAGCGTGTCTCTGTGTGTGCGTGTGTGTGTGCGCGCATCTTGTGCGTGCGTGCCTGTTTGTGCGAGTGTCTGTGCGTGCGTGTCTGTGTGCGTGCACCTGCAGCGTGTCTCTGTGTGTGCGTGTGTGTGTGCGCGCGTCTTGTGTGTGTGTGTCTGTGCGTGCGTATCTGTGCGTGCGTGCCTGTTTGTGCGAGTGTCTGTGTGTGCGAGTGTCTGTGCGTGCGTGTCTGTGTGCGTGCACCTGCAGCGTGTCTGTGTGTGCATGTCTTTGTGTGTGAGTGTCTGTGTGTGTCTGTGTGTGTGTGCGTGCACCTGCAGCGTGTCTCTGTGTGTGCGTGTGTGTGTGCGCGCATCTTGTGCGTGCGTGCCTGTTTGTGCGAGTGTCTGTGCGTGCGAGTGTCTGTGCGTGCGTGTCTGTGTGCGTGCACCTGCAGCGTGTCTGCGACGCGGTGCAGGAACTCGATGATGAAGAGTGGCGGCGCTTCGCTGCGCGTCACCGCCAGCAGCGACACCTTGCCCCGCAGCGCGCTCAGCACGTAGTGGTGAGGGGTCGCCAGCACCGGAGCCACCGCCTCCGCCAAACACGACGACGAGGAGGCGGAGCCACCGCCACCGCCGCCAGCGGAGCCACCGGCAGAGTGGGCGGAGGCTCGACCTGCCAGAGAGACACGGGGAGAGAGACATCACTCACCGTGTCTCTCTCTCCCTGTATATCTCTCTCCGAGTGTCTCGCTCTCTCCCCCGTGTATATCTCTCCCACCATGTCTCTCTTTCTCCCCATGTCTCTCTGTCTCTCTCCCCCCAGTGTCTCTCTCCCTGTGTGTGTGTGTCTCTCTCTCTCTGTCCCCCGAGTCTCGCTCCCCATGTATCTCTCTCCCTGTGTGTGTGTCTCTCTCTCCCTGTGTGTGTGTCTCTCTCTCTCTCCCCAGTGTCTCTCTCCCTGTGTGTGTGTCTCTCTCTCTCTGTCCCCCGAGTCTCGCTCCCCATGTATCTCTCTCCCTGTGTGTCTCTCTCTCTCTCCCTGTGTGTGTGTGTGTCTCTCTCTCTCTCCCCAGTGTCTCGCTCCCTGTGTGTGTGTCTCTCTCTCTCTGTCCCCCGAGTCTCGCTCCCCATGTATCTCTCTCCCTGTGTGTGTGTCTCTCTCTCTCCCTGTGTGTGTGTGTGTGTGTCTCTCTCTCTCTCCCCAGTGTCTCGCTCCCCATGTATCTCTCTCCCTCCTGGTCTCCGTGCTGCTGCGAATTCCCATATCGGAGCAGCACAGCGCCTCCTGGAGACTCAACGTACATCTGCTTGACGACACCGACTTCAGAGAAACCTTCAAAGCCTTTTGGGCTCAGTGGCTGCCTGCCAAAGGCAGCCTCAGCTCCCACCAGCTGTGGTGGGACAACACAAAGGCGCAGGTTCAGGGGCTCTCTGTCAGCAGTTCATGAGCGGGCACGCCGTCGCCGAGAACGAGGTGGCGCGCCAACTTGCAGAACGAGAGCTGCTGGCGCTTGAGGCGGAGCTGAGCTCATCCCACAGCACACAGTAGGGTGAGACGCTACTGGAGAAGCAGCGGCTTTTAAGCTCCATCACGGACGAGCTTCTGTGTGCAAAAAGATGCGGCGCCTGTCGCAGATGGACTCTCTCCCTCTAAGTGTTTCTTCCGCTTAAACAAAGCACCGGCCAACACCAACAAAATTTCCGGTTTGCGAACCCCAGATGGACAAATCAGCAACATCTGAGAGCGAGATCGCCAAGACCGCCAGGGATTTATGCGCGCAACTTTCCGCCGCCGAAACCGTACACGACGGGGCTGTCCGGGAGCTACTGGACGGGGGCCCGACCTTAGGAGTCCCCGAGCGGGGATCGCCTGGACAGCCCCCGTCACCCTGCAGCAGGAGCTCCACACCGCCGTGAAAGGGCTCGCAGCCGGTAAAGCCCCGGGGATTGACGGCCTCCCGGTTGAGTTTTACGCGGCCGTCTGGGATGAGCTCGGCCCTCCACTACTACAATTGTTGACGGAGAGGCCTGCGGAAGGGGGAACTCCCCACAGAGCTGCAGGAGAGCCGTGGTCTCCCTGCTACCCAAGAAAGAGGAACCTGCGCCTCCTCGTGAACTGGCGACCCGCGTCCCTCTTTGTGCGCCGACTGCAAAATCTTCTCCAAGGTGCTGGCAAACCGTCTCAAGACGGCGCTGGGGTCAGCTGATCCTGCCGGAACAGTCGTGTTGCATCCCCGGACGGTGCATATATACGACAACATCGGTACGGTCAGAGACGTGATCTCCCTTGCAGAAGCGCGCAACATGGACTTGGGCCTCCTCTTCTTGGGTCAGGAGGATGCCTTTGACAGGACGAGCCACCAAGTACCTGGACAAACTCCTAACGTCGCTCGGCTTCGGCCAGGCCTTCATCTCACACGTTAGGCTCCTGTACACGGGGCACATCCAGCCTCTTCAACAACAATTGCATTTAGCGCCACAGCGCATGGATTTATAGTGTTTGTTATTTGTTTGCTGGTGACTTTGTGTATTTCGTATCGGAATCGCCTGCAGTGCTGTTGCTGCTGGCGGCAATAAAAGTTGTTTAAAAGTCAAAAGTCTCTCCCCGTGCCTCTCTCCCTCTCTGTCTCTCTCCCCTTGTCTCTATCCCTGTGCCTCTATCTATCTCCCCGTGTCTCTCTCTCTATCTCCCCATGTCGCTCTCTCTGTGTCTCTCTCCCCGTATCTTTGTCTCTCTCTCCGCCATGTCTCTCTCCTTGTGTTTCTCTCTCTTTCTCTCTCTCTCTCTCTCTCCCGGTGTCTCTCTCTCCCTGTGCTTCTCTCCCCGTCTCTCTTACCTGCCGCACGCTCCTTGGCCTCTAGCCAGTAGTCACACACGGAGCGAGAGACGGGCGACTGCCAGTGCTTCTCCAGGAAGACATCGCCCGCCGGGTTCAGCAGGAAGAGGCTGTGGATCATGGTGACCGATGTCTGCGTGGAGAAGACGGAGAGGAGGTGGGGGGGGGGGGCACGGTGAGAGACGCGGGGAGAGAGGTGCGGGGAGACAGACGCGGGGAGAGAGACCCGGGGAGGGAGACGCGGGGAGGGAGACACGGGGAGAGAGATGCGGGGAAAGAGACACGGAGAGAGAGAGAGAGACGCAAGGAGAGAGAGACGCGGGAAGAGAGACACGGGAAGAGAGACGCGGGGAGGGAGACACAGGGAGAGAGACACGGGGAGCGAGAGACGCGGGGAGAGAGAGACACGGGGAGGGAGACGCGGAGAAAGACGCGGGGAGAGAGACACGGGGAGAGAGACACGGGGAGAGACACACGGGGAGATGGCAGTCACAGACAGAGACAAGCGAGACAAAGGGTTCCCCCAGTGGCAGCTCTCCCTGTGTAGCGCACGGTGGCTCGACACCAACGTAGCTTTGTAGCTACGTTTAAATTATTTTGCACTGTACGTAGCCAACCATATTCATCTGTGGGTCTCTATGGGTCTAGGTGTCTACAGGTTGTTCTTCCCCCGCACCTCCGATTAGCACGGTTGGCTACATACGGTGCGAAAGCAGTCCACCATACATACATAGAGATCCAGAGAAACTCAGACATATAGAGACCCAGACAACCTAGACTCATAGGGACCCACTGATTAGAACAGTTGGCTACAACAGACACGCAACATACGCAACACGCAAACACGAGTACAACGTAGAGAAATTAAGAAGCACATCGCTTAAGAATAAATAATGAAAACATAAACTCATTATACAGTAAAACCTTGGATTGCAAGTAACTTGGTCTGCGAGTGTTTTGCAAGAAGAGCAAATTTTTTTAATAAACGTTAATTTGATAAACGAGCGAGGGTCTTGCAACACGAGCAGTAGGTGTCCAGCTTAACGCTTTGTCTGCCGAGCGTCACGTGATCACAACTGAGCCAATGGTTCTTCTCTCTCTCTCTCTCGCTGCGGGATTGTGGGTAATCGTCTCCCATGCTCGGTCTCAGTCCGTGCGAGCGTATCCTGTTGACTACAGTACTATAGTGTTCTGACCACGTGTATACTGTTTACTATAGTACTATAGTGTTGTGACCACGTGTATACTGTTTACTACAGTACTATAGTGTTGTGACCACGTGTATACTGTTTACTACAGTACTATAGTGTTGTGACCACGTGTATACTGTTTACTACAGTACTATAGTGTTGTGACCACGTGTGTACTGTTTACTACAGTACTATAGTGTTGTGACCACGTGTAAACTGTTTACTATAGTACTATAGTGTTGTGACCACGTGTATACTGTTTACTACAGTGCTATAGTGTTGTGACCACGTGTATACTGTTTACTACAGTACTATAGTGTTGTGACCACGTGTATACTGTTTACTATAGTACTATAGTGTTGTGACCACGTGTATACTGTTGACTACAGTACTATAGTGTTGTGACCACGTGTATACTGTTGACTATAGTACTATAGTGTTGTGACCACGTGTATACTGTTTACTACAGTACTATAGTGTTGTGACCACGTGTATAGTTTATTACGGTACTATAGTGTTGTGACCACGTGTATACTGTTTACTACAGTACTATAGTGTTGTGACCACGTGTATACTGTTTACTATAGTACTATAGTGTTGTGACCACGTGTATACTGTTTACTACAGTACTATAGTGTTGTGACCACGTGTATAGTTTATTACGGTACTATAGTGTTGTGACCACGTGTATACTGTTTACTACAGTACTATAGTGTTGTGACCACGTGTATACTGTTTACTATAGTACTATAGTGTTGTGACCACGTGGATAGTTTATTACAGTACTATAGTGTTGTGACCACGTGTATACTGTTTACTACAGTACTATAGTGTTGTGACCACGTGGATACTGTTTACTATAGTGTTGTGACCACGTGTATACTGTTTACTACAGTACTATAGTGTTGTGACCACGTGTATACTGTTGACTACAGTACTATAGTGTTGTGACCACGTGTATACTGTTGACTACAGTACTATAGTGTTGTGACCACGTGTATACTGTTTACTATAGTACTATAGTGTTGTGACCACGTGTATACTGTTGACTACAGTACTATAGTGTTGTGACCACGTGTATACTGTTTACTACAGTACTATAGTGTTGTGACCACGTGTATACTGTTTACTATAGTACTATAGTGTTGTGACCACGTGTATAGTTTATTACAGTACTATAGTGTTGTGACCACGTGTATACTGTTTACTATAGTACTATAGTGTTGTGACCACGTGTATACTGTTTACTATAGTACTATAGTGTTGTGACCACGTGTATACTGTTTACTATAGTGTTGTGACCACGTGTATACTGTTTACTATAGTACTATAGTGTTGTGACCACGTGTATACTGTTTACTATAGTACTATAGTGTTGTGACCACGTGTATACTGTTTACTATAGTACTATAGTGTTGTGACCACGTGTATACTGTTTACTATAGTGTTGTGACCACGTGTATACTGTTTACTATAGTACTATAGTGTTGTGAACACGTGTATACTGTTTACTACAGTACTATAGTGTTGTGACCACGTGTATACTGTTTACTACAGTACTATAGTGTTGTGACCACGTGTATACTGTTTACTATAGTACTATAGTGTTGTGACCACGTGTATACTGTTTACTACAGTACTATAGTGTTGTGACCACGTGTATACTGTTTACTACAGTACTATAGTGTTGTGACCACGTGTATACTGTTTACTATAGTACTATAGTGTTGTGACCACGTGTATACTGTTTACTATAGTACTATAGTGTTGTGACCACGTGTATACTGTTTACTATAGTGTTGTGACCACGTGTATACTGTTTACTATAGTACTATAGTGTTGTGACCACGTGTATACTGTTTACTACAGTACTATAGTGTTGTGACCACGTGTGTAATGTTTACTATAGTACTATAGTGTTGTGACCACGTGTATACTGTTTACTATAGTACTATAGTGTTGTGAACACGTGTATACTGTTTACTACAGTACTATAGTGTTGTGACCACGTGTATACTGTTTACTACAGTACTATAGTGTTGTGACCACGTGTATACTGTTTACTATAGTACTATAGTGTTGTGACCACGTGTATACTGTTTACTACAGTACTATAGTGTTGTGACCACGTGTATACTGTTTACTACAGTACTATAGTGTTGTGACCACGTGTATACTGTTTACTACAGTACTATAGTGTTGTGACCACGTGTATACTGTTTACTATAGTACTATAGTGTTGTGACCACGTGTATACTGTTTACTATAGTACTATAGTGTTGTGACCACGTGTATACTGTTTACTATAGTGTTGTGACCACGTGTATACTGTTTACTATAGTACTATAGTGTTGTGACCACGTGTATACTGTTTACTACAGTACTATAGTGTTGTGACCACGTGTGTAATGTTTACTATAGTACTATAGTGTTGTGACCACGTGTATACTGTTTACTATAGTACTATAGTGTTGTGACCACGTGTATACTGTTTACTACAGTACTATAGTGTTGTGACCACGTGTATAATGTTTACTATAGTACTATAGTGTTGTGACCACGTGTATACTGTTTACTACAGTGTTGTGACCACGTGTATACTCTTTACTATAGTACTATAGTGGTGTGACCACGTGTATACTGTTTACTACAGTACTATAGTGTTGTGAGCACGTGTATACTGTTTACTATAGTACTATAGTGTTGTGACCACGTGTATAGTTTACTATAGTACTATAGTGTTGTGACCACGTGTATACTGTTTACTATAGTACTATAGTGTTGTGACCACGTGTATAGTTTATTACAGTACTATAGTGTTGTGACCACGTGTATACTGTTTACTATAGTACTATAGTGTTGTGACCACGTGTATAGTTTACTACAGTACTATAGTGTTGTGACCACGTGTATACTGTTTACTACAGTACTATAGTGTTGTGACGACGTGTATACTGTTTACTATAGTGTTGTAACCACGTGTGTACTGTTTACTACAGTACTATAGTGTTGTGACCACGTGTATACTGTTTACTACAGTACTATAGTGTTGTGACCACGTGTATACTGTTTACTATAGTACTATAGTGTTGTGACCACGTGTATACTGTTTACTATAGTACTATAGTGTTGTGACCACGTGTGTACTGTTTACTAAAGTACTATAGTGTTGTGACCACGTGTATACTGTTTACTATAGTACTATAGTGTTGTGACGACGTGTATACTGTTTACTATAGTGTTGTAACCACGTGTGTACTGTTTCCTACAGTACTATAGTGTTGTGACCACGTGTATACTGTTTACTATAGTACTATAGTGTTGTGACCACGTGTGTGTGCCTAAAGCATTTTTTTATTTTGTGTCCAAGTGTAGTGACTGTTCTTTAGTAACTGTCCTGCAACAAATGGCCCCCATAAAATCCTCAAAAGGAGGCAAAGGCAAGCGTTATTGGATGGGTTCCTTGTACTGGTAGGAACGAAGTTGTAAACTGAGTGTACCAGCCTGCAATAGATTAATGTGTCCGTCCGTCCGTCCCCTTTCAATACTTTAACGAAGTAAAATCTCGTGCTGTTGGGTGTAATAAAATTGCGCAAAATTCCAATGTTCCTACCAGCCCACCCTGCAGGGACCTGTTTAAAGTCGAGCAAGAAGAACAATATTCCAGTGAGCCAACAGGTGGCAGTGATTCCGTTTGTGACGGTGAAAATCGTCCTACACAATAACGCTCATCATCCTCCTCCTCCTCTCTCTCGTCTCCCTCACAGCAGCCACGATTACATTCAATTAATACATTTGATTACTTTACAGTAAATTTAAGTAATACAAATGTAACGAGGTATTTTGTATTCGTCATTTTTTTACGTGAATATGTTTGGGTCGTGGAACGAATCGTCTTGAGTTTCCATTGTTTCCTATGGGGAAATTCGCTTTGATGTACGAGTGCTTTGGAATTGCAAACACGTTTTCGGAACGAATTATGCTCGCAATCCAAGGTTTTACAGTATTTACACAAGTCGGATGTATTTTTAAGATGGGACAGAGAGGGAGAGATGGTAAAAGAGAGAGAGACAGGGCTGAGCGGGTGAAGAGAGATGAGAGGCAGGGCAGTGGATAGAGAGAGTGTGGGGAGAGTGTGGGGAGAGAGAGGAGAGTGTGTGGGGAGAGAGAGGGGGGAGAGGAGAGTGTGGGGAGAGAGGGGAGAGTGTTGGGAGAGAGTGGGGAGAGTGTGGGGAGAGAGAGGGGAGAGATGGAGAGTGTGGGGAGAGAGAGGGGAGAGAGGAGAGTGTGGGGAGAGAGGAGAGTGTGGGTAGAGAGAGGAGAGTGTTGGGAGAGAGTGGGGAGAGTGTGGGGAGAGAGAGGGGAGAGATGGAGAGTGTGGGGAGAGAGAGGGGAGAGAGGAGAGTGTGGGGAGAGGAGAGTGTGGGGAGAGAGATGGAGAGTGTGGGGAGAGATGGAGAGTGTGGGGAGAGAGAGGGGAGAGAGGAGAGTGTGGGGAGAGAGGGGAGAGAGGAGAGTGTGGGGAGAGGAGAGTGTGGGGAGAGAGATGGAGAGTGTGGCGAGAGAGAGTGGGCAGAGAGAGAAAGAGGATGGGGAGAGTGGGGAGAGAGAGGAGAGTCTGTGGGGAGAGTGTTGGGAGAGAGTGGGGAGAGTGTGGGGAGAGAGAGTGTGGGGAGAGAGAGTGTGGGGAGAGTGGGGAGAGTGTGGGGAGAGTGTTGGGAGAGAGTGGGGAGAGTGGGGAGTGAGAGACACGGGGAGAGTGTGGGGAGTGTGGGGAGTGAGAGTGTGGGGAGTGTGGGGAGTGAGAGTGTGGGGAGTGTGGGGAGAGTGGGGAGTGAGAGTGTGGGGAGAGTGTTGGGAGAGAGTGGGGAGAGTGGGGAGTGAGAGACACGGGGAGAGTGTGGGGAGAGAGTGGGGAGTGAGAGTGTGGGGAGTGAGAGTGTGGGGAGTGAGAGTCATGGGGAGAGTGGGGAGTGAGAGTGTGGGGAGTGAGAGTGTGGGGAGTGAGAGTGTGGGGAGAGTGGGGAGTGAGAGTGTGGGGAGAGTGGGGAGAGAGAGTATGGGGAGAGTGGGGAGTGAGAGTCATGGGGAGAGTGGGGAGTGTGGGGAGAGAGTGTGGGGAGTGTGGGGAGTGAGAGTGTGGGGAGTGTGGGGAGAGAGAGTGTGGGGAGAGTGGGGAGTGAGAGTCATGGGGAGAGTGGGGAGTGTGGGGAGTGAGAGTGTGGGGAGAGTGGGGAGTGAGAGTGTGGGGAGTGAGAGTGTGGGGAGAGTGGGGAGTGAGAGTGTGGGGAGTGAGAGTGTGGGGAGAGTGGGGAGTGAGAGTGTGGGGAGTGAGAGTGTGGGGAGTGAGAGTGTGGGGAGAGAGTGTGGGGAGTGTGGGGAGTGAGAGTGTGGGGAGTGTGGGGAGAGAGAGTATGGGGAGAGTGGGGAGTGAGAGTCATGGGGAGAGTGGGGAGTGTGGGGAGTGAGAGTGTGGGGAGAGTGGGGAGTGAGAGTGTGGGGAGTGAGAGTGTGGGGAGAGTGGGGAGTGTGGGGAGAGAGTGTGGGGAGTGTGGGGAGTGAGAGTGTGGGGAGTGTGGGGAGAGAGTGTGGGGAGAGAGAGTGTGGGGAGTGAGAGTCACGGGGAGAGTCACGGGGAAAGGAGTAGGGGAGAGGAGGGGGAAATGGAGGATGCTGAACGAGCGAGGGAGAAACGCAGGCATTGAGACAGACACCCTGACTTAGACGATTATAGTGACACACAAATACACAAAAACTCGGAGAGAGATCGCCCGTGAAGCCTAAAACAGACTGCTTGTAGCCCTTGACAGGTTGATGGGGCAAGTGCTGTTGGCAAACGCCCATGGAGGCTACAGCACACACAGAGGGGGTGGGTGGACAACACACATACATGCAGGGAGACACACAGAGACAATGACTGAGACAATAACAGACAGAGACAGACAGACACAGAGAGAGAGACAGACAGACATACAGACACAGAGAGATACAGACAGACAGAGAGACACAGGCACAGAGAGACACAGAGAGACACAGAGACAGAGACAGACAAAGAGAGACACAGAGACAGACACAGAGAGACACAGAGAGACACAGACACAGAGACACAGGCAGACACAGACACAGAGAGACACAGACAGACAGAGACAGAGAGACACAAATACAGACAGAGAGACACACAGACAGAGACACAGAGAGACACAGACAGACAGAGACACAGAGAGACACAGACACAGATAGACATAGAGAGACCCAGACAGACACAAGAGAGACAGATAGACACAGACAAAGAGACACAGACAGACACAGACAGAGAGACACAGACAGACAAACACACAGACACAGAGACACAGAGAGAGAGACAGAGACACAGAATGACAGAGACACAGACACAGAGATAGACAGAGACACAGAGAGACAGAGACAGAGAGACACAGACAGAGACACAGCCACACAGAGACACAGAGAGACACACAGAGATACACAGACACAGAGAGACAGAGACACAGCCACAGAGAGACACAGAGACACAGAGATAGACAGAGACACAGAGAGAGACAAACAGAGACACAGTGAGAGACACAGAGAGACACAGACACAGGGAGACACAGACACAGAGAGACACAGACACAGAGAGACACAAAGACACAGAGAGACAGATACACAGAGAAAGACACATAGAGAGACACAGAGAGAGAGACAGTGAGAGACACAGAGAGACACAGACACAGAGAGATCCAGACAGACAGAGAGACACAGACACAGAGAGAGACAGAGAGAGACACAGAGACACAGTGAGAGACACAGAGAGACATAGACACAGAAAGACAGAGAGACACAAAGAGACAGAGAGACACAGACACAGAGACACAGAAAGACACAGACAGAGACAGAGAGACACAGAGACACAGAGAAAGACACAGTGAGAGACACAGAGAGACACAGACACAGAGAGACACAGACACAGAGAGACACAGACACAGAGAGACACAAAGACACAGAGAGACAGATACACAGAGAGAAACACATAGAGAGACACAGAGAGAGACACAGAGAAAGACACAGAGACAGAGACACAGAGACAGAGACACAGAGAGAGACAGACACAGAGAGACATAGACACAGAGACACAGTGAGAGACACAGAGACACAGACAGAGACAGAGACACAGAGAGACAGAGAGAGACACAGAGACAGAGACACACAGAGAGACACAGACACAGAGAGACAGAGAGACACAGAGAGACACAGAGAGAGACAGAGACACAGACACAAAGAGACAAAGAGACACAGAGAGATACAGACAGAGACACAGAGAGACACAGACAAGAGAGACAGACACAGAGAGACACAGACACATAGAGACAGAGAAACACAGAGAGACACAGACAGAGAGACACACAGACACAGAGAGACACAGACAGAGACACAGAGAGACAAAGACACAGAGAGACACAGAGACATAGACACAGAGACACATAGAGACAGAGACACATAGAGACAGAGACACAGAGAGACAAAGACACAGAGAGACACAGACACAGAGAGACAGAGAGACATAGACACAGAGACACATAGAGACAGAGACACATAGAGACAGAGACACAGAGAGACACAGAGACACATAGACACATAGACACAGAGACACATAGAGACAGAGACACATAGAGACAGAGACACAGAGAGAGACAGAGACACAGAGAGAGACAGAGACACAGAGACACATAGACACAGAGAGACAGAGACACAGAGAGACACAGAGAGACACAGAGACACAGAGCCACATAGACACAGAGACACAGAGAGACAGAGAGAGACAGAGAGAGACACAGAGACACAGAGAGAGACAGACACACAGAGAGACAGAGAGACACAGAGACACATAGACACAGTGAGAAACACAGTGAGAGACAGAGAGACAGAGACACAGAGAGAGACACAGAGAGACATAGACACAGAGAGACAGAGACACAGAGACACACAGAGACACACAGAGACACACAGAGACACAGAGAGACATAGACACAGAGAGACACAGAGACACACAGAGACACAGAGAGACACAGAAACAGAGAGACACAGAGAGACAGAGACACAGAGACACACAGAGAGACAAGAGACACAGAGAGACATAGACACAGAAACAGAGAGACAGAGAGACACAGACACACAGAGAGACAGAGACAGAGAGACACAGAGACACACAGAGAGACACAGAGACAGAGACACAGAGAGACAGAGAGACATAGACACAGAGAGACAGAGAGACACAGAGAGACACACAGAGAGACAGAGAGAGACACAGAGACACAGACAGACACAGACAGACACAGAGAGACACAGAAACACAGAGAGAGACACAGACAGACAGACACAGAGACACAGAGAGAGACATAGACACAGAGACACAGACAGAGACACAGAGACACAGAGCGAGAGACACAGACAGAGACACAGAGAGACACAGAGACAGAGAGACACAGAGAGACACACAGAGAGACATAGAGACACAGACATAGACACAGAGAGACACAGAGAGAGATACAGAGACACAGAGAGAGACACAGACAGAGACACAGAGACACAGAGAGAGACACAGACAGAGACACAGTGAGACTCACGGCGTCACTCTCCTGCCAGTCACGTGACGCGCCAGCCGAGCGGACGTGACGTCAATGCCAAGTCGCCACAGTGCCGCGCACATCGCGGCGGATAAAAGCAAATAAGTATTATTTTTTTCAAGAATGATTCTAAAACATTTCAAGGAAACGCACCGTCGCATTCGGAGGTTAACTGGCGGCAGAGTCGATATATATAAAAAAATGTAACACGTGAGGTTTAAATAAATTAATAAATGCGTCTTTCCGCCATGGCGAGTTCAAAGGCAACCGGACGTGACGTCAGGTCGGGTTTTTTAAAATGCTTGATAATTTATGCAAATCACGCCTGCTACGTCATGGGATAAGTTAATGAATGCTAATTTATGCAAATCACGTCTGCTGCGTCAATGCGATAAGTTATTGAATGCTAATTCATGCAAATCACGCCTGGTACGTCATGCGAGAAGTTAATGAATGCTAACTTTTGCAAATCACGCCTGCTACGTCATGCGATAAGTTAATGAACGCTAATTCATGCAAATCACGCCTTCTACGTCATGCGAGAGGTTCATGAATGCGATTTTTTGCAAATCACGCCTTCTACGTCATGCGAGAAGTTAATGAATGGTAATTTATACAAATAACGCCTGCTACGTCACCTGATACGCTAATTAATGCTAATGTATGCAAACAACACCTTCCACGTCACGCGAGACGCTATTGAATGCTAATTAATCCTAACAATGCTTGTGAAGCGTTACAATTGAATCCATAAATATTTACGCGATGTCTATTCTGGATGACATTGGTCGCGCAGGCCTACGCGTTAAACTGTTACAATTTAAGTTAATTTAATTTGCGGAATCTTTATAGTGGAGAAATCCGAAGAGCCGTGAAGCTCTTTGCTCACAGATGTCCAGTAGCAGGAGGGGCCACGGGGGTCAGAACGTTACAACAACACGGTACACACATATTCTTTGGGTCTTTCGGTAAAAAATTTGATTTAAACCTTTTGTGACTGCAGGGATTCATATTCTTGGTTCTTTCGCTAAAGTCACCACCACGTAAGAAGAAGGGAAACAATAAAATAATAAAAATATATAAAACAATAAAATTATTGTAAAACAATAAAAAAAAATATTCTTGGTTCTTTCGGTAAAGTCACCACCACGTAGAAGGGAAACAATAAAATAATAAAAATATAAAACAATAAAATTATTATTCTTGGTTCTTTCGGTAAAGTCACCACCACGTAGAAGGGAAACAATAAAATAATAAAAATATATAAAACAATAAAATTATTGTAAAACAATAAAATTATTATTCTTGGTTCTTTCGGTAAAGTCACCACCACGTAGAAGGGAAACAATAAAATAATAAAAATATATAAAACAATAAAATAATTGTAAAATAATAAAATTATTATTCTTGGTTCTTTCGGTAAAGTCACCACCACGTAGAAGGGAAACAATAAAATAATTAAAATATATAAAACAATAAAATTATTGTAAAACAATAACATTATTATTCTTGGTTCTTTCGGTAAAGTCACCACCACGTAGAAGGGAAACAATAAAATAATAAAAAATATAAAACAATACAATTATTGTAAAACAATACAATTATTATTCTTGGTTCTTTCGGTAAAGTCACCACCACGTAGAAGGGAAACAATAAAATAATAAAAATATAAAACAAAAAAAGTATTATTATTCTTAGTTTTTTCGGTAAAGTCACGTTGAAGAGAAACAACAAAATAACAAAATATATATAAAACAATAAAAAATTCTCACGACGTTTCGACCATAACTCAAACGGTCATCATCAGGTGTGTTGGTTTGCATAAATTTATTTTTAAACGGCACATTTATTTATTTATTTAAAAAAACGTTGGCGTCACGCGCAGCGATTTGGCAGTTTGCCCAGGACTAGTCCATCTATTTTTTTTTAAAAGAGGAGGGGGGAGACGAAATTTTTTATAATGTATGCTGTCTGAAAGCCACTGTAAGCGTGAACAATCAATTAAGAACTGAAATGGTTTATCAAATCTTTCCAATGATTGCTAAGATAGAATCCAACTTCTCGGTTGAAATTGTCTCTGTGCTTGTATATGTGGATAGCCTCATGAACGAATCTCTCATGGAAGCCAGATGGCTTACAAAGAACCTCCGTCTTGGAAAAGTCAATGGCATGTGAGCCTACTGAATTAGAACAATGATCTGCTACGGCCGAGGTGTTGGTCCTACCGTGTTTAAGGTCTGCTTTATGTTCACGAATGCGGTCCGAGACATGGCGTTTGGTTTCTCCAATGTAACTATTACCACAGAGGCAACTTAGTTTGTAGACACCAGGGTATTGTATGTCCGGAATCACATCTTTTACAGACGGAACCAGATCACGGATTTTATGTAATGTGTTGAAACGGACCTGGATCTTGTGTTTATTCAAGATTTTGGAGATCTTTTTTGTGATCCCAGCAATGTAGGGTAAAGTGATGGTTTTGAAAGGCTCCTCAAGAGGGTTCTTCTTCATGGTTTGAGTGATAGCTTTGCGGATTGTATAGTCGGAGTAACCATTAGCCCTAAGAGCTTGGTGTACGTGCTTGAGTTCACTGCTTATGTGTTCCTGGTCGGATATGCATTGGGCTCAATGATACAGAGTCTTGATGAGAGAATTCTTCTGTGATGGATGGTGGTGGGAATCCGGTTTCAGATAAGCATCCGTATGGGTAGCTTTCCTGTAGACAGAGTGGCTCATTGAACCATCAGGTCTCTTTTTAATTAGGACATCCAAAAAAGGTATCTTGCCATCTATTTCGACTTCCATGGTAAATCTGATGGCTGGGTGTATGGAATTGATGTGGTCGAAGAATTGGTCTAGAGCAGGCCGGCCATGTGGCCAGATGACAAAAGTGTCATCCACGTACCTCTTCCATAAGGTTGGGCGCAGAGTGGCAGTCTGGATGGCGTCAGTCTCAAATTTCTCCATGAAAATGTTAGCTATAACTGGAGAAAGGGGGGAGCCCATTGGGGTGCCCTCAGTTTGTTTGTAGAAAGTTCCATTCCAAGTGAAGTATGTATTGGTTAAACAGTGTCTCACCAGGGGGGGTACCTCAGTGTTTAGTCCTTGATGAACCAAGTCTTCAATGATTGCAATGGTGTCAGGTACAGGAACCTTGGTGAATAAGGAAACTACATCAAAACTGACAAGCAGGTCGTCTGGGGACAGGGAAATACCCTTGATTGTTGATACCAGGTGAGTAGAATTTTGTACCGCAGAGGTGGTCTTTCCAGTGAAAGGACGCAGGATTTCAGACAAAAAACGAGCTAGTTTGTAGGTGGGGGAGCTGATAGTAGAGACTATGGGACGAAGAGGTGTATCAACTTTATGTATTTTTGGTAAGCCGTATAATCTTGGTGGCCTGGCAGCAGAAGGTTTCAACGAAAACTGTTTAGATTGATCAATTAATGCGGTTGAATCAGAAATAATTTTGTTGGTTTGTGTGACGAGGCTGTTGGTGGGATCTCTTTTTATTTTTGTATAACTACCATCGTCGAGTAATTCTTTAATTTTGTTGTTGTATTCTATTTTATCCATGATGACAGTAGCATTGCCTTTGTCAGCTGAGAGAACTACAATATCATTCCTCTTTTTTAATTTATATAATTCAAAACGCTCATCTTTGCTGAGGTTGCTAGCTGGCATCTTAGCGTTTTTGAGGGTTGCAGCGATTTCAGATCTTGCTACGTCTGCAGCGATGTGACCCAGGCCCCTGAGAGCAACGTCTACTTGGGCAATTATATCATTAACTGGTATGTGTTTAGGTGTGACTGCAAAGTTTAGACCTTTAGCTAAAACGGATTTCAGACCATCGGAAATAGAACTGTTACTGCGATTAATTACGACTTTATTAACGTCTAACTTTTTGGTGTGTGGGTCCGGTCTTTTGTTGAAGAGGAGGTTAAATTTGGAAATCAGGTTTTCCTTACATTTGGTCGACATAGTAGCAGCTGAAGAGGCAGTCATATTGTCTACATGTTCCCAATCCGATGTGGACATTATTGCCGTCAATGATAAGTGTGATTTGTAGAGTGTCTTGTTTAACTGATCTAGTTCTGTGCGTATAAGTCTGATTTTTTCTGAGATAAGAGCTAAGCTAGTTTTGAAAAGAATTCGTTTCGCATTAGAAGAAGTTACAGCAGCAGAGGTCAGTGTAAATGCGATTGGTATTACCCCAGAGTCGCGGCATCTCTTCAGGAAGGTGGGAGACTCGATCAGCTGAGCTTTCTTATCCCGGAGTTTGTTGAAGGATCTTAAAGTTATGTGAAAACCCTCCCCGTAGAGGCGATTAAATTTTGATTTAAAGCTTTCGTGACTGCAGTAATTCATATTCTTAGTTTTTTCGGTAAAGTCACGTTGAAGAGAAACAACAAAATAACAAAATATATATAAAAAATAAAAAATTCTCACGACGTTTCGACCATAACTCAAACGGTCATCATCAGGTGTGTTGGTTTGCATAAATTTATTTTTAAACGGCACATTTATTTATTTATTAAAAAAAACGTTGGCGTCACGCGCAGCGATTTGGCAGTTTGCCCAGGACTAGTCCATCTATTTTTTTAAAAGAGGAGGGGGGAGACGAAATTTTTTATAATGTATGCTGTCTGAAAGCCACTGTAAGCGTGAACAATCAATTAAGAACTGAAATGGTTTATCAAATCTTTCCAATGATTGCTAAGATAGAATCCATCTTCTCGGTTGAAATTGTCTCTGTGCTTGTATATGTGGATAGCCTCATGAACGAATCTCTCATGGAAGCCAGATGGCTTACAAAGAACCTCCGTCTTGGAAAAGTCAATGGCATGTGAGCCAAAAAATAAAATTATTGTAAAACAATAAAATTATTATTCTTGGTTCTTTCGGTAAAGGCACCACCACGTAGAAGGGAAACAATAAAATAATAAAAAATATATAAAACAATAAAATTATTGTAAAACAATAAAATTATCATTCTTGGTTCTTTCGATAAAGTCACCACCACGTAGAAGGGAAACAATAAAATAATAAAAAATATAAAACAATACAATTGTTGTAAAACAATAAAATTATTATTCTTGGTTCTTT